CTGTAATAAACCTGGGCACAAAATAACTCAATGCTGGAAACTTCTATACAGGGGAGATGCCACAGCAGGAAAGGCTGGTATCCAGAAAGATTGTTGGAACTGTTGGAAGCACGGACATTTGAGGAGCCAGTGTAGGAGGAATATTACCAACAAGTCAGCCTCAAGGAGACCAGTTGTGGTTGGTGTTGAGGGACACTCACCAACCCCCATCGTGAAAGCCCCAACAGCTAGGTGTAAAATGCCAAGCACACACAGCGTCTATGTGACAGGAAAGCTGGATGGCCAAAAGTGCAACTTTGTCATAGACTCTGCGTCTCAGCAAACCCTTGTGAGCATCAAGGTGTTAGATCACGAAGGAGTACCAGAAGCCATACAGAAGCTTTATGGTGTGACAGAACATTCTACAAGATTGTGGGTAACTATTGAGCTCATGGGCATAAAGGACAGACATAAAGTATACTTGGCTGACATTGAAGACGAATGCATATTGGGATTGGACTATCTACTACCGAGGAAGTTTGTAATTGATTTTGATAAAATGATATTTGGGAACAACAAAGGCCAAGTTCCGGTAACTGTTAAAAGAGAGGTTGAACTAATTAGGTGTCATCAAGCTGAAGTCAAGCCGACTGAAAGAGTTGATGATGATGAAGTGGAACCAAATATAGATATCAAAGCAGAACAGGAGAAAGACCAATATTTGAAGCCAATAATTGATTTCCTAAAAACAAGTGTTTTGTGCCCTGCTTGGGAGAAGGTGTCTTGTCTAAGTCCTGTGACAAAGCACTATTGGGTGCAATGGGACCAGTTAAAGCTTGCAGATGGTATTCTTGTACGGAGATGGGAAACTACCGATGGGAAAGTGACGACTTGGCAAACAGTTATACCGAGGAAGTTACGGGAAGTTGTGTTGTGTCACGCCACTCATTCTCTCGAACCTTCGTTTGTTATAGCGCAACTGTTGAAATTGAGTGTATCGTAAAGTTGTATTCGGAAACAATAAACCAGTTTTATTAAGAAAGGATTTGTGTCGCTAAAGTTTCGTCGGAACGAAGTTACGGAAAATCAACTAACGAACGGAGACGTAACAATACCATCTACAGCGGTAGGCTAGTATAATACACCAAATAGAATACTATCTACTGCTGAAAACTGTAACTGATAAACGATCAAGCTGTGACACACTTCTGATATTTCCAGTTATGAACTATTCTGTTACACATATACGCCACGTGACCTGTCGAGTTGGGACACTTGGTAACGACGGAAAGTCGCCAACTATCTTGAACGTGTAGATTTCTTTAAACGATATCAGATTAACGAAATTACAGATTAAGAGCCCTTTTGTAATCTTTATTTATTAAGCAGATAAAGTATTATGTAAAACTATGTAACCAAACGTCGAAACTTTTGAGGAAAAATGTATAAACATTTCGTTATGATTCGTCGTGTTGCTCTACGAAACTCATTCTTCCGCTGGTGGTGTTGCTTAGCGTTATAGGAATCAAACGGTTAATGAAGATATTAGATTTCTGACCACGTACAGGGTAGCGAAGGTGACCTTTATTTACGAGAAATTTAGGTCACATGACCGCATACTTGGTAAATATCCAAGTTTTTAGTTTTATGCTGGTGTGTATTCCTGAAAGATTAAATTCATCACCAAGTGTCTCCCTATAACTTGTGACCAAAGTGCAACAGACATAACTCTACTAATTCGAAGTTAACAAGTTTCTCTACACTGTTGATAATGTGGCCTAAAAATCAAACCAGTGAAATCCGTGCACTATTACTGTTAATATACAACCAGTCAAGTGTAAAAAATAAAACTAGAAATACTAGTAGTGCAAGACTTACAAAGAAAATTTTAGTTGGACAAGTATCATTTTGTTCCGAATAGATAAAAATTGTATTTTGATATACTACTGCTAAATGATGTGTTAATTATAAAATATGGTATGATAACTGATAATTGACCAAAAAAAATGTGAAACAATAAATCTTAGGGGTTCTTTTTTCGTAAGATTTATATTTTTTTTAAATATGTTCCGCATAAGTTTAATAATATTTACAAAAATGAAATACATGTATAACATATACCACACAAACAATTTCCCATTTCTCAGACTGTTTTGGTCTCTTTGCTGTGTGACGTTTAATTTGGTGCATTAAGGCTCTAAATTTGAGTTTTGTTATATAGAAAAGTTTGTGTTTTATGAAACTAAAAACTTACTTTTTAAATGTTTTCTCGTATTCTTTGATCTCCTTTCTAGAGAACTCTGGAAAATCCGTGTACGGGTTGAACACATGGCGCATAACCGGTGATGGACCAGGACTCCCCTCCACCCATTCGTTGAAAGCTTGACGACGGGCTAATTTTTGCGCCAGCTCGGCGTCTGCCATCACTTCTTTTTCGTCTAAAATAAATTCGATTGACACGCGAAAATTAATATTGTAGAAAGCTACAAAATTTGCCTAATATTATCTCAGATACGAGAGTTCAAATTAATCAATAATACTCTAATAACGAAAAAAGCCTAACCGCGTGCAAACTCTTCAAAAACCGTTGGGTCCACCGCTCACGAACTTCACGAAAACTAGAGGTTTTAATGACGTTTGTATTTACTTTTTAGCAAACGCACTAGATGGCGCAATGGAGTTATACGTTTGTTTATCGTTTAACATTTAATTAGTATTATAGTTTATCTATCTGATGTAACCGTTCAATGCACGCACACATAAACGCACGCTGTCGTTTCAAATGATGGTGGTTTAGAAAAATATAAACAAAGTGATTGGAGAAGTTAAGTTTAAATTTATTAACATATGAATCTGGTATTTAATATTGTTACCACATGTATAAACAAGTGCTACATATTATTTACAAAAGTCTACGTAAGCTTGATATATTTATTCATGTAATAAGAATGAAAATTTGCAAACATTAATATATGAGACAATATTTGTTATTGTTACGTCTCTGGTCGTTAGTTAATTTTCCGTAAAAATTCTTT